TAAATAAATTAAATATAAAAATGAATTACTTAAAATTCATTTAAGAATAAAAAAGAGAAATTACTTATGCAGAAACTTTTGCCACCTTTGACCCATATTTACAGGGTACTTCCAGCTGATTGAATCTCCACTGCTACAGCTGTCCCAGTCCCATACACCCACAAGCCAAGCCTGAGCAGCCAGCATTCTTGCTCGCATAAAAGTCGCACAAGGTGTGGGCTGCATCAGCCGGTGTGGCTGTTAACACCCGTGTGGCTCTGCCCGGGCCCTTGCCACTCATGGCACAAGTCACTGGTCATCTGTTAATATTGCTTGGGTCCATGCTGGCTGCATTTATCACCTCGCTGAAGCACACCCTGCCCTTTCCCATCAGACATGCTTGCGCGTGTGCCCAGGGCGGGCAGCTCAGCCCAGGCACCTGCGAGGCAAGGAGCCCGATTTCAGCGCTAGCTCCTTTGGTACGCGTCTGCTTGGGGGCACCCACTGTTCCCTTTTATCGGGTGTGACGGGGCAGAAGAAAGCCTTTAGGTCTCAGAGCATTGTGTTTCTCCACCCTCCCCAATTTTCACAAATCTCTTAACTTCCAGCTGAAAATCTGCAAACCTTGCAGCACGCTGGCTTTGCCGTCTCTGTTAACATACAGTTACTAACTCCAGGGCAGCACCAAGTCCTACAGGCAGCATGGTGGTGGGCACTTTGACAAGCAGCCTGACTTTTCCTTCCTTCAAGTGACACAGAAAGAAAACAAGGCTGCTTGCCAATAAGATAGGAGAAAAACCAACAACAGTTCCCTGAAGAATCCAGCCAAACCTGCCAGGAATCTGGGACTGTATTTTATATGTTAAGGATTGTAGAAAGCGTTTTTATTTATTCTAATAATGCTTTTAATGATCTCTCCTTTGCTCTGCATTTAGTCTTTTAGTTCTCATTAAGAGAAAATTTCCAGTTTAAGAGTAAAAGTTGAATTTAGTCTTTTAGTTCTCATTGGGAGAAAATTTCCAGTTTAAGAGTAAAAGTTTAAAACCCCTAAACAGTCCAAGCCTCATACTGAATATTGAGTTGCAATATATGATTCATTTGGATATATAGGGAGGGAAGATGTCATCTTACTAAGTTTATTTAATAGTTTATGTGCTGTAAACTTGGTCCAATGCAAAGTTCAGCTTAGAGATCATAAGTGAAGTCCTGGATGTGGGTCACAATTTTGTTAGTTCCCCGCCAACCCCACCCGACAGAATACAGTCACGAAGATGCTCTGACAGAGCTTGGCACCTGGATCCTTGGTTTCCTCATTTGGTTTCACCTCTAGGAGCAGAGCATTTATGGCATGTGCTGGAGAAGCTGTTTAGATAATACTAGCAGTTTATCAAACCGGAGAACATTTCCATTGCTGTCAGCTCTCAAAAGTATATGTGCCCATTTTGAAACTCTTTCCTTTACCGATATTCATAGCAGCAACAGAACCATAGAATCATAGAATGCTTTGGGTTGGAAGGGACCTTTAGAGGTCATCCAGCCCAACCCCCCTGCAGTGAGCAGGGACAGCTTTAACCAGATCAGGGTGCTCAGAGCCCCAGCCAACCTGACCTTGAATGTTGCCAGGGATGGGGCCTCCACTACCTCTCTGGGCAACCTGTGCCAGTGCTTCACCACCCTCATTGTAAAAAAACTTCTTCCTTATATCGAGTCTAAATCTATTCTTCTTCAGTTTGAATCCATTACTCCTTGTCCTGCCAATAGAAGCTATATTCAGAACATTTGCTTTCTTCCCTTGTCTAAAGTTGTTGCAGCGTTGCCCGGATGACTCCCCATTGCGGCTCAGGCTGAAGTAGCGATGGGGACTACGTCCAGAAATGTAGCAGGGTCATGGCACATGGCAGTGTCGCATATCTGTTGTGTCACACGGTGACCCATGCCACAGCAAAACTACCTCACCCTGAGAGCTGGGAGCAAAGAAACTGGGGGACACCCCCTATGTCCGTTCCAATCCCTGTCCCTGATCCCTTCTTCAAAGCACGGACTGGCGTGGTGGTACCTGCGATGGGACTCCAGCGTGTCACCGGCAGCAAGACAGGGCTGCTGCACCTGCCTCCAGCCCCGGATGGGTTGGTGCTCTGTCCCCCCGCTGATGGCGGGGCTGGGCCTGGAAGGCTCTGCCACCTCTCCTCATGGGATGCACTCCCCAGGATCATCTTCTCAGACTTTGCACAAGATGTTACAGGCTCTGACCTGTGTATTTAAATAGCTTCTCCAGCATGTTCCATTTACAGTGGGGAGAAAAAGCAGACCTGTGGACTGTGTGGGTAAGCTGGGGTCACATAGAGTTTTTGTGGCAAAAGTATTGCAGGCACAATGATCTACAGCAGGCACCCAAGTGCTGCCCTTGCCTTCCCAGCTTATAAACCTCTATGCTTTCCCTCTCCCCTTTCTTCTGTATCTGGTTTCTACTCGCTATCAGAGCAATCCTCAAATTTGCTCCCACACATCTGATCTCGCTGCCTCCCACACCCAGTCTGATTCCTTCATGCCACCCAGCGCCTCTCCTGACTTATCCTTTTGCTTCCTCCACCCACACAAACCCAGAGTCTTTCTCACCATCTCAGATGCTCAGTGCATCCTCCCAGCCATCATCCTTGCTCTGCTTCTTTAAACCACTTCTCTCAACCCCGAATCCGGTGTCATGGTAGCCGTATGGTATCATGCTTTGTGCCTGAATATCATCCTTATAAGCCATGCAGAAACTAGAAAATAAAGCTGGTTCTTATCGGTCTTGATTTTCTGTGCACATGGCACAGGAGGAGTTAAAGAAAGCAATACTTTGAGGTAAGAATGGAGACAAACCAAGGGCTTTTCAATTTTATGCAGCCTTGTGAAAATATCATGTAGAGCTCAAACTATAAATGCCCACTAAATACAGCATCATGTGCTATTAACCCATACAAAAAAAAAGTGATTCTGTTCTCTGTCTCTCTTTTTGTGTAGATATTAAGAAGAGCAGACAAGAATGGTAAGACCGGTCGTGTGTCTTCCCCCTCCTTTTGGAAAAAAAAAAATCCATCATTGATTCAGCATTTTAAGTCATGCATTAAACATCCTAACAGCCATCCCTCATGTAATTTTATGTTTTCTACAGGCTCAGTGCAATGTATTTTGTTGTGCACTGATCCTCCCTCTGGGTTCTTTAAGGGCAGATCTTGTGCTTTCACAATTTTGCATGTGTTTTTGATTTGCTCTTTGGGTGCATGTGGGTGTTTTCTTAGTGACATTGTGTTCACAAGAAGGTTTGAAATATTTCTTAGTAGCTCCATCTTATTACTTTTTAAAAACACCATAGGCTATATCTAGCAATCAGACTTGTTTCCTACATTTTGCAGGTATGTATTTGTTCAGCATTAGGCAGAATAAACCCTTGAATTCAACGCACATATTTATAACACAAAAGGCGTGATTATTATGTTCCTAATCAAAAGTTTTGCCCATGTACTACTGACTGATTTTCCTTCCACATATGTGTTTCCCTTATTTAAATTCAGTAAGCTGGAGCATAGTACTGCAAGGCTTCACAAATGCTGCCGTTCTGGCCACAACAGGGAAAGGTCCTTGCTGTAAGGGCCACATGTATAACCACTGGAATTTCTTGCTGTCGTACATAGTCATGGTCTTAAACCTGGCTTTAACTCCTTTTCCCATCTCAGAATTGCTGCACTATTTGGGACAAGTTACATTGTCATTTTTGTGCCACGTACCCCAGCAGAGAAAATGAAGCCTCCACTACTTCCCTGCATCACACAAAGTGTGAGATTCAGTATGATTGAGGCTATGAAGAGCTTCTGTAGCTCTGCAGTTACCATAATAGTATTTATACTTAGATAACCAGAGTCAGATCTTGGAGGACAAGAAGGAGAGACAAGCTTGCAATTATTTAGCACTGTAATACAAAAGTACGGGAAGAAGGGAGATGCGACTTCTTGCAGAAGCAGGGGCCAGACTTCGGTCTTTTCCTGAAAGCATTGAAGAGTGTCAAACCCACAGCTCAGACAGGTTTAACCCTGACAAGTAATTCTGACTCGATCCTCAGAAAACAGGTATTGTGCTGGTTCGATTAAGTGTACTCTCAGGTACTTAAAGGCATAATGGACACTATTGGGGAAATCAGAGAGGATCACTTTCAAGGAAGAACTGTTGGACAGTAAGGGGCTACTGTACAGTTTCATGGTATTGCTGAACCTGTCAAATAACCATTTATTGCTGCTGAGAGGGCAGTCCCACACCCCCAGCCCACCGCCAGCTGCATATTCCTGCTCTAGCTCATGTGCAGCAGCTGGCACTTCCCACAAAATCAAGGCAGGCTCCTTCACAGAGCTCAGGAACCACAAAACCCACCACTGTGAGGGGTTTTTGTTAGTGTTTTTTTTTATCTAGTGGCTTGGAAGGGCAGTGATGGTGCAGGCTGAATCCCAACATGAGGACGTAGGTCGGGAGGAGAAGGACCTTCCTCTTCAGCCGTGCTTTTCGAGCTTGGTTATGTGCCAACCACAGCCAAGCTCTGCTGGCATCCCCCACAGACCTCCTCGTGGTGTTTGGAATCGGTGTTTATGTGTCTACCCTGAAGACTGATGAGAGTCAGGGCGTATGGTGCAGAGCAGCAGTCATCACACCCCTAGAGTCAAAAAGAGCCCCTGCAGCTTCGACTCCCTGCCCTGCACTTTTAGCTCATGCTCTGTCCTAGCCCTGGTGAATCCACAGCACTTCGGTGGTCAGAAAAACTTCCAGTCCTCAGTGGGGTTACCCTGCAGTTTCTTATTGATACTTTGCTATTAAAATAGGGGAAGGGGCTCACATGGTCAGTGACAAACTTGCTTGTTCCAGAACAATATGAAGCCATGTCGGCCCTAGAGACTTTGGTCACTGGAATTCATACCTATATATGGATCCTTTACAATATATTATTGGGACAAAACTGGCTAAGTTCAGCCACTTTAGTTCTATTAAAGTCCACGAGCTTGAAATGGTTTCAGCCCGGATGCACTTAACTGCGTTTGCTCAACCATCAATTGCCCGTGGGACTTCCACTTTACTAATGTAGCACTGCACAGGCTCAAGCCACATTAATAAGGAGGAGATTTGTTTTAAGGCTGGAATGTTAAGTACCTTCTCAGAAAGTGAACACTCATCTGACATGCTTACATAGTTGTCAACACAGATTATTAGCTTTTGTTAATGACTAAGATACTTACACTTTCAGTGTCACCTTTCTGTGCTGCAGGAAACCAAGTATTGGCTTACAGTAAAACAGTTACTGTCCACGACACGCTCTTGTTAACCCATACACTTTTAATAGGACTCTCTCAGAACTGCCTTATCCATTCTCTGTGAGATTAAAATAGCCCCAAAAAATTTATCATCAAAAACCTCACTAGATACTTGCTTGACAGCAAGAAAAAAATACATCCAAAAAAGTGGATCAAGCTGATAAATAGGAGTATTATAGGAGATAGCATTCTTGCTATGAATTTAGGGACTGTGGGACTTCAGGTTAACCTTCCACAGCAAGGAAAGACAATTATTCTTGCAAAGACAATATAAAATATGCGATCAAAAGAGCCAAGAAATTCTGCTGTCTTGCTGTTACTCAAAAATACTACAATGATTTATGACAGCTGGGTTTGATTGAGAAACTCCTTTATCAAACAGTCATTCCCCTATTTGAAAGAAGCCATACAAATGTTGCTTCTTTTGGGGTGGTGGCTTCTTTCTTTGCCAGCACAGGTATATATATCATTCTGTTACCTTCCCATTTCTGGAAATACCAGCTATGCACAGCTTTCACAGGAGGATCAGCTTCATAAACTCTATCTATAGTTCTTACTTCATGGTTGAGCAGCTCTGCTCTGTACGGAGCAGCTCCATACTCCTCCCGTAACTGAAAAGGTCGTGTGATTTTCTTAGAGGGAGAACAAGGCATAGGGAAGGAATATCACATTTCTAAGAATTACATGGTTCATAATATTGACAAAAGCAACAGAAAACCCCAAGGGAAAAAAAGCAATTTCATAAAGGTGAGATATTGCACATTGACCTTTTTGGAAAGGAGAAGTTTCAGGTTTGCATGTCAAAATGAAGTTTTGGTCAGGTTTACTTTACAAAACTCCATACATTCAAAGGAAAGCTAATTTGGAAAAATTCCAGCTAAAAGGAAAGTTCTTAATTTATTTCATTTCTTTTCCTATTTAAAACAAAATCAAACTCATTACATGTTTCAGAGCCCAGGCTCTGCCTGGGATGCAATTCCCCATCCCACCTCCCTGGGTCCTTCAGGTGCTGCAGGGCTGGACTCTGCGCTCCAGATTTGAAACGTTATTATTTCTATAAAGACAAAATGCCTACTTTTAAACCTAAACCCTCTCCCTGTTAGCCTAGTCCCCTTGGGACCACATGGTTACATGTGATAAGCTTTTCCAGCAGAACAGCTAGAATAATGGCTCAAAATCATTATTTCTGGTTATACCAATACTCAATACATACCAGAGTTAATGAAAGCTTAGTGCATTTGCCCACAATCTTTAAAGCTGCAGCCTACCTCTGCTTTTAATTATGCAACCCCTTATGCCTGTGACCTAGTGGATATTATCAGTGTACTCTTTGGCACACTGAAATTTATTATTTTGGCAGCTCTTCCTTAGTCTGATCCCAGCCTATGTACCATGTGCCAATAAATCAGGGTTTTTTCAGCTTTTTGCATCTGGTTCTGTCCATCCATGTCTGTCATCATGTGTGTCCCCCACACTACCTCATTTTCTCTGTGTATAGGGCAATATCTTTTAGCACTCAGGTGCTCAGGACCCACGTTTATGCTGCCTTCCCAGTGTTTGCTTCAGCCATGCAGGGGACTGTGGCCTGAGTGAGGCACTTTAAGGCTTTAAGTTCTTCAAAGGCAGACAGATTTCAAAAAGACATAAAGGGCTGTCACAGCTCCCATGAGGGATTTAGGAAGTCAACTCCCACTGAGAACTGTGAGAGCCTGGATGGGGCTGTGTTTGTGGCCCTTGCCTTTCCCGTGGGAGAAGCGACTGCTTCATTTTGAGCACTGTCATTTCCTAGTCCCTGTTGTACCTTCCTGGGGAATAAATACTTTCTGCCACAGGGGATTTTTCTATTTATTGATTTCACTTGTTACCTCTTCTCCCTTTGCTAATTTTTGCCCTACAAGGGCAGAGGACTGTGCTCGTAGAGCCCCACACCCTAAATAACCTGACTGCCCTGGCAGTGTGCATGTTGCCAGCCTGCAGACAGGCTGGGCACCATCTGGCTAGGCCAGGACAGTGCCATGTCTCTGCTTTCCGAATCCCATCCCTGAGCTTTAGCTCACCGGGGTTTTTCCCTCCAATTGCCGTAAACTCTACCATGTGGCTCTTCCAGTTGCCATAAGTCCTAGGGTTGCCATTCAGCCATACGAGCTCCATCTAATGTGGGTCCTGCTATGGAAAGACTGCTTTGGTGGCCCTCTGTGGAGCCCACAGGCATGTTTAACTGCTGGGAAAGGCTGACAGTCCTAACAAGAAGCCTGAAATAGGTGGGGATGGAAGCTGTTTTGCCACAGTCCCCCATTTGCTGGCATCTCTACAAGACATCCTGCTCCTCTACATCACTATAATTTCCTTCACTGGCGGCAGACTCACCATTTGCCATTGTCTTTGGGCATGTAGACTCCAAATATATGCGTACCACCATTCCTTATTTGCTTGATATCTTTGCACTCACTGAAGTCATCTTTCAACTCAAAAAGAGAGTATGTGTGTGGCTTTTCTTCGTCAGATATGCTGTTGTCTATTGAAGTCATAAACTATCCAAAAGGTGTCCTGGAGATTACTAGTGTTTCTGGAGCAGACTGGCTGGGAGATATCATGTGGGCCTATTTTACACATAAAAACATCTATTCAATAGAGAGGTGAATTTTACTGAAATAAATGCAAGAATGTAGTTGTAACCTGAAGGAAGGCTCCCCTAAAATACTGTGTAAATACATTTCTAAACTTGCAAGTACTACATGGGTAGATCCATTTTATTGTTTATATTTTTGTCTGCCAGTCAGGAGTGGTTTGGCTTCAAGGAGGACTGGCAACTGTACCTGCTTTTGAAGAAACCCTGCTTCTGAAAGACGTCAGAGAAGATACACAAAAGCAAGCAAAGCTTGCAAAACAGCTTCTTTGAGATAACGTTTCCAAGGCAAATGCTGCTGAAGGTTGATTTGTCTGAGGGATGCATGGCTTCAGAGAAGTTTGTCTTTCATGAATCATCCATCCCCTGTCTCTTTGCCAGGAGGAAAGGTTGAAGCATCTGTAATAGTGGTTTCTGGTCAGCCGCTCTGAAGAACTTAAACCAGACAGTATTTATCTGGGCACTCTGAGGGCAGCAAGGTATGCCCCAGGGAGGCAGTGCTGAGGATATGTAACGCAGCCTTTAAAATAAAAGCCATTCTTGAAAATGATACTTGAAAAAAAACCTGGCTAGGCAAACGTGTCTTCAATTAAACAGCACAAAGAGCACTTGTTAGGGGTTGGGTCTGAGCTTCATCTGAGCACTGAGGAATCACAGGGGTGGCCTGGGCCACCAGCAGCTGAGTCCCCAGCTGCACTAGCAAAACAGTTACACTTATACAAAGTTGAGAAATGCCCTGAAGAATCAGAGCTTTTTTCAGTAAATGTAACCATATGAAGTCTGTAAGTAACCGAAGAGGTTCAAACCTCCTTGGGTTTTTCCAGCAACAAGCTCAGTAATGTGTCAGTCAATGTCAATAACATTCAAAATGTTATTGAGAATAAATAGCAATGAAGCAAAAGGCAATGTCTGCTCTTGGATGATAAAATTTAAAGAAAATAGCTAAAGTGCCCAATCTGGCTGTTGGCAGATCATTGATTTTCTGGATTGATGGAAAGCAAATGATCCTGAAGAACAGAGATAAACAGACAGATGTTTCAGGTTTTGTGTCATAGCCAGACTGTTCTATGAGTAAACTCATAATACGTTTATCTCAGGAAAGTTGCCAAAAATCACTAGTTTCTTGACTATGTGTATAACTTGCATGCAAATCACCCTTCCTAGCAAAAGCTAAAGCTGCAGAGGCAGTTAAACAATCGATTGTATCCGTATGAGCCAAAGGAAGCATAGCTGTGAAAAGAAGCTCATTTCAACACTCTCAATATTTGATATTCCTTCTCTGTAACCAGTGCCAAATGGCAGATGTATTTAGATTCTCAATTAGGTAGTCATGGCAGCTCTGTCAAAGAAAATTGCCTACCTTCAACACTGTATTGTGCCATCTTGGTTTTATAACTCTTGTAGATCTTGGCATTTTATTTTGTTCATAATGATGATTATCTCCAGCTACAATCTGTCTTTTCATATTAAACTTTTCAAAATGTTTTTGTTGAAGCAGACATTTAATTTGTACAATTTTGAAACCCGTTGAAGATTACATATTTGAAGTCATATATTCAAGTCAAAGAAATTATGAAATAATAGCAAGCAAAAGCATGAGGAAAACTCCTCAGCTCTACTCTTCAAATCTGCATGCTGTAGTACAGCATGTAGTTACAGGATTCAGATACTACCTTCATAATAGATTCTTCACCACTATAAAATTAGGCTGCAATATGCTGTAGATTAGTCTGGTGCTTAGAACATCTTAGTTTTATCTTCTACAGTTGTTTAGTGCACCATGAGTGATTCAGTATGTTGCTGAAGGAAAAGAAAGAGACGTGAACTTAAATTTAGTGCTACCCAAAACAGAGTTATGAAGTGTTAGGCTTTGAGAATATTCTTCATGCTTCATGCAAAGGCTCAATCAGCTCAGATAAATTATTATGTAACTACCGTTTAACCATTCAAACTTCTTCTAAATAAAAGCAAAAGGTGGGTCATCTTTCTTTGCCTTTTGTTTGCTGATTATGAGTCTTGCATTTAAAACTCACGACACTAGTCAATGAGGAACAAATTGCCCTAACTGTTTTAATGAAGTTACGGATTTGCCTCGTCCTGACCCATGTACTTCTTCTGAAGTCCTGCCTGTACGGCAAAGAAAAGAGGACAGTTGTTCCTCAGGACGGAAGCAAATGTCAGCTGTTGCTGATGGATCCATGATGAAATCTCGTGGCCTTCTGTGGGGTCAGCTTTCCATTTACAAACTTCTGTCTTTCATTTTTTTAACATCCTGCTGACAAGCATCGGTTGGTTTCTCACATCATCTTCTATACAATGTCATTCAAAGCTCCATCCAGGCTCCAGGTCATTTCAGCATGCAGAATTCTCTTATATATCTTCCTTTAATTGATTCATTCTCCTCAGCTTTGAATAATATACTCAGGAAAAAAATAGTTGTGCTGACTGTCATATGTTGTTTAAATAGTCATTGTGATATGATTAGAGGCCAGAGTTAACAAAGTCTAATGCTCCTTGCACCCCAGAGTCCTACTTTCCAAAACAGACAATAGCCTAAGTCTGCCACTTCTGTCACTGCTGCCATGGCCACCCTGTGGGTGGGAGAGGCTGTCCAAATTGCGGCACCTTTTATCCATTTCTGACGTCACTAATCAAAAAAAAAAAAAAAAAAAGCATGGAAAATCTGCAGTATAGCAACTTCTCTGGGATTATCAGACATGCTTAAGTGAGGTGAGATACAAGTACGATCCCTTCTTCAATGAAATGCTGTAGTAGTTATTGGAATACCCTTTAAAAAGCGTTGATAGTTGTGCAGAGTTTGATCTGACAAAAGGAGTGTAGAGCCTCAATCTGAAGTGGTAACATCCTGAAAATACCAGATGAATTAATCTGCTTAACACATCTCATCACAAGGATTTTGCCTCATGTAGTCAAGGGCTTGCTGTAATTAAAGCTAACTTAAGAAACAGATGAAACAGAGTCCACTAAATAATGTAGTAGATGTTGTAATAAGGACTTTCTCCTCTTGAATTAGTGTACATCCCATTACTACTGTTCTAAATGTTATCATATGGTACTTCCCCTCCCTCTGAGTCTCATTAGTCCTGCAGACATTTCCTAACTACAAGAACATGTTATTGATGATGATCAGGATGCATGTGGTGATGATTGGTTTTGTCCCAAACAAATGAGAACAGTAGATACTTAGAAAATAAAGTCAAGTTCTTCATAGTTGGGCTTCACTGTATATTAAATGGCCAATTCAAACCATCTGAAAATCCATCTGAGGATTTTGACTGACCTCTGATATATGTCCAAACCAGTTTTCTCATTCCTATATTTTGGTGTAATCTCCAGATGAATTACATGCTGGCAAATAGAAATTTGTTATTTTCTAAGCTGACCGAGAAAATGAGCTGAAATTCTTCCCAGTGGAAAAGGACACAAAGCTGGCTTCCTATTCCAGGAAAGTCAAACTTTTTTTAAATTTATTTTGTTAATTACATACCAAGCATAGAGCTTTTTGAGAAAGATGTATTTTATGAAGAAGGAGAGAATCAAAATGCTGCAAACCAGTGCAGTGTGTTGATTAGTGTCCTTAGCTAGAGAGGAGAGCCAGGGTCAGATCCCTGCTGCTATTGAATTGTGCACATGAGTCTCAGTCTCCCATGTGGGATGCAGGGAGCAGAGGAAAGAAAGAGCAGGAGAAGGAAAGGGAAATAGATAGCTCTAGATAGCTGAAGAAATTTTCATTGAACTAACATGCTCCTTCAACAAATGTTTGCTTTTGCATTTCCCTGGATTTTCTCTGTCCCACTCAATCTCAGGAGGTCACTGATCTTCCATGAGGAAGCAAGGACACAGGCAGGGAGCAGGTAGGGGAAGTGTGCGACAGGACAGGGAGAAGCCACAGGGAATGGGATCAGGGCAAAGACAGGCCTGTATTGATGTGTTTGTCAGTGGAGACTTACCAAAAGCAAACTATCTTTGCTTGAAAGATGAGGAGGAAGAATAACAGTTACCAGGCAAATTGAGAACCCTGATACAACAGCCAATGCATTTAGCATCATGTTCTTTATGTGTCTTGATCAAATATGTAAAGTTTCTACATTTAATCTGAAGAGCTAGAGGGTTTTAATAGTTTCCTCTTCTACTGCATGAAGTAAACAAGCAAAACCATAAATGAAACTAAAGCACTTTCCATTTCTTCATTGTTTCAGATGATGGAAAACTGTCCTTTGATGAATTCAAAGCTTACTTTGCTGACGGAGTTCTGAGTGGAGAAGAACTGCATGAACTTTTTCACACCATTGATACACACAATACCGAGTAAGTGTCCCCTTCTTGCAATTATAGTGCTACTCTCTGTACCTGAGAATGGAAAAAAGACATCAGGCTGATTTTAGAAAACAAGTCTAAGGAGAAAGCTGCTTCCAGGAAGCTAGGCTGTGTCATATGGCTCTAAACTGTACAAGTGAAGTGTTTCTAAACCTTGTAGAAATACTGCATGTTCCAATAAATGTGATTTGGGTACTGGGAACACAGGGTGGAAATTGGATGCCTTCTGTGTTCTCCACCCATGACAGAAAAGAAAAGGGGCTGTGGTCTCCTTCAGGTTTAAATATGAGTTCCTCAATTCTTGATCCTACTTTGCTAATTCATTACATGAGATGAATGCTTGGACCAGACATTGAGCAAGGAAAAAAAATAAATGAAGCAATCACATATAGTAAAGAGCAGAAAAAGCCATCCTGCCTGGTGCTGGCATGGTAATTGTGTTGGTGCTGTCACTTAGGCTGTTTGGATATCCCCATTACGGTTGGGCTTAACAAGGCCACAGGGAAATGAGCTGACAGGAACTTTGTGAAGTTCCACAGGGAGAAGTGCAAAGTCCTGCACCTGGGAAGGAACAACACCATGCACCAATACATGCTGGGGGCCACCCAGCTAGAAAGCAGCTTGGCAGAAAACGACCTGGGGTGGACACCAAGTTGAACATTAGCTAACAATGTGCCCTTGCAGCAAAGGCGGCAAATGGTATTCTGGGCTGCATTAGACAAAGTATTGCCAGCTCGTCAAGGGAGGTGATCCTTCCCCTCTACTCAGCACTGGTGAGGCCACACCTGGAGTGCTGTGTTCAGTTCTGGGCTCCTCAGTACGAGAGAGACATGGACATGCTGGACAGAGTCGAACGAGGGGTCACAAAGATGATTAAGGGACTGGTGCACCTCACATATGAGGAAAGGCTGAGAGAGCTGGGACTGTTTAGCCTGGAGAAGAGAAGGCTCAGAGGGACTTCAGTGTATATAAATACCTGGAAAGAGGGTTCAAAGAGGAAGGAGCCAGGCTCTTTTCAGTGGTGCCCAGTGACAGGACCAGAGGCAATGGGCACAAACCCAAGCACAGATCATTCCCTCTGAACATCAGGAAACACTTTTTTATTGTGAGAGTGAACAAGCACTGGCACAGGTTGCCAAAAAAGTTTGTGGAGTCTCTGTCCTTGGAGATATTCAAAAGCCGTCTGGACATGGTCCTGCGCAACTGTCTCTAGGTGGCCCTGCCTGAGTAGGGGGGTTGGACCAGATGACCTCTAGAAGTCCCTTCCAACCTCATCCATCCTATGATTTTATGACTGAAGAAGAGAATGGATTTCCTTTTTATTTGCTTTCTGGCCATCAGCAGTTATTCACTGCAGGTCTCCCATTTCCTGTTAATTAGGAGGGTGTTACTAAGCTAGTGGTTTTTAAATCAGACTATCCCTGCGGCAGAGAAGGCTCCGAGGAGAGGCCGTTTATTGCTTTTGCTAAGAGGCTATGAAGACATCGTGTGGTAATCACGGCGTGGGTTGTGGTTCTGGTTACAAGGAGAAAGTACACAGTAAGTCAGTATTGCTTTTCTCAGCTGCATACAGTGGAGCAAGAAGCATTAAGATGCTATTACAGCCCTGCTTCCTATGTTTACCGTAAGAAAAGGTAGGAGCAGCGTAACAGGACCTTATCTCATCCAATGCCAAACTCCACTGTGCCTCTGGGTTTTTTACCTTCCACAGGGAAACAAAACCTGTGATTTTGTAATTCATCTGTTTCGTAAAGATCCAGACACTATCTCACAGTGAGACATTAGTAGCCTCGTTTCTCAGACACATGAATTTGGCAGTCACCTTAGTACTTCAGGACTTGCGCTTTACCCCAGGTAGCTCCAGACAGGCCTTTTCCCTTGGCCAGTTCTTCCTGACAGTGACTCTTGTACAGCTTTTTCTCCTTCGGATGTCTGTGTCACAGCATCGTGCCCCTCCTTGTTCCCCTCTCTCTCAGCTTCTACCAGTCCTCCTTTGCGGACGCCCAGTTGCCATGACAGTTGTGTATCACGAGCCCCAAGTGCCGACCCGAGCCCAGGCCCATCACCCTGGTGGCCTGCCAATGACCAGGCGTGATGCTAGCCATTGGCATGACAACTATGCTTGCAGCAGAAAGCCTGGAAGTCCAGCCAAGGGCTTTTTCGGGAAACATCTCAAAGCTCATTCGTCTGAAGAAGCCTCACTGAAGGCCTGGTGTGCTTGGAAGCTTGTCCTTTTTTTTCCACCATTATGAGCTAGTCTAATGAATATATCCTCTCTCCTTACAAATTTTGCCTTCCTCCAGTCTAGGTGGAATTATTAAACCACTTCACCTTTTCCAGAATGTATGGAGACAGAAATCAATTGAAGTCTGAAATCTGATCAATATTGTACAAGTGTATGCTAGGGAACATGTATCTCATTTTATGATCTTTTAAGAACAATTTCCAGAAAGATAAACATCAAAATTTTTAAAAAGTTTCTAGGTTTTCATTAGCCAATATACAAATCTTTTTTTTTTTTTGTAAGAAGTCAATAGTTAAATAAATTCAGATATTAACTTTTCAAAGTGTTGCTTATTTCAAGCCATTTAAATATACAGTCTATATGCAGAACCACATTTCTTTGCTGTCTTAAGAGCTTGGTTGCTTTTTTAGAAGCATGTATGAAATACTGTTCATAAGCAGTATTGTCTGTGTGATTATATGGAGGCATGATATGCCTACAGTTAGGAATCCTCTTTTAGATCTGTTCTCTGCAGTCCTAAACGCATTCACATAGGCACCTAATTCATATAAACAGAGGAATATATTCCCTAGGAGTAAATGCCTAAATAATTCTGTGGATTTGTTTTTTAGGTCTGATCTCACTTATGTTTCTGTAAATCAGGCATAACCTCCCCAGAATAATTAGATTTAAGCCAGCACAAAATGGAAGTATGGAACTGGACTCCTAATCCCAAGGCCATCCTAAAGCATCCAGTAAACCATCCTGTGTTGAAGACTCTTGGTATTAGGATGCAACAAAGACAGAGAAACAGGTTTCCCAGATGTATCATTCTCCTCAACAGACAACACAGAAGAAGCAGCAATATCACCAGGTTATGTCTTATCATGAGAAGGCTGTCATTATTTCCCTAATTCCCCCTATTTCCCTAATTTGTCAAAAGTACTTACATGCTATAAATTCAAAGCAGAAGGTTGGAGAAATACTGCTAAATAGGTATGGTGTACAGAAGAAATAAGTGTGAGATTTTAATTTCCTCAGGTTTCTTAAAATCAGTGGCAAAGACTGAGAAACAAATATGATCTTCAACAAATACAATGCATGCAGTCTACCTAATCCTAGCAAAATGAATCACCTGCTTCTTAGAACACCGTGGGAATTTGCTTGGCAGATTAAGGGCCTTCACGCAAATTTCTAACCCAGAGTCAAAGACTCATTTCAGAGCCAAAGACTCATTCATACAGCTTTGGACTTTCTCATGTGTACCACGTATCTGCATGAGAGTGGTCTTACTTTACCATGAGTGCATTTGTCTGCATTTGTCAGGGAGCATCCTGATAAGGGCAAATATCCTCGATGACTATGTAAGATTTTTAAGAAAAAAGGTAGGTGTTCTACTTCTATTTTTCCTTTCTTTTTATTTGTAAAGCTTTTTTTAATTTGTAAAATATTCTATTTGTTAATTTTTTGTTAATTTGTAAACCTTTTTCGCTTTAGCAGAGAATATCTGGACCTGAAATATATGTAGAAAAGTGAGAATAACATTATGTTTTTCCTCCTGGGAGATAGGCATACCCAAAGAATGGGTGTGACTTTGTTGAATGCCACAGTTATTAGCTGAGAACAGGTAATGAACCTGGCACATCATCTGAGAGAGAGGTCATTCTCACTGTCCAGGAAAAGCCTGGCAAAAAGCAGGACACAAAAGTTACGGAGAATACGTACTGTGAAGGATCATATTTTCATATATTTCAGGGAATTGAATAGGTGGAAGACTAAGAAAACCTACTAAATTACCTTTTCCAACCAGAAGAAAGGGTGCTTTCTGTTGACTGGTTAACATTTGTTATATGGTAGAACCTATATATATAGAATATAATAAGAAAACATGCTTAAAGTTTAGATTTAAAACAGCAACAAGAAGCTTTTTGAGTATGCTTTTTTCATAAAGTCTTTAACTGATAAAAGTTTTAGTGCCTGACTTTGCAGTTGAAAAGTATTCTACAACACTTGATCTTCCTCTTTAACATTTTAAAGGCTTTCCCTCAGCACCTTTGAAAGCTTTTGAGAACCCTGGCATCAGGCAGGCAGGCAGCAAGAGGGAGCATGCCAGACATCAGATGGATATAGCAAAGAGAGACAGCTTGGACAGTATAATATAAATTCCTTGTTAGTATAGCTTTCCAGCAAAAATCACATGAAGCTGATATAATAAGGAGGCAAAAACTTTACTCACTGGTATTTGCTGGAAAGGACAGATTATGTAAAATGTCTCAAATTAACCAGCTGGCAAAGAAAAGTAGCAAAATGTTCATTGAACCATGGGAAGTTTTGTAATGTAAGCATTAGGAGAATCGGGTACTTATCAAACAATAACCAAACCACCTATTTTGTGATGTTTTCACTTGCAAATTACCCAAGGGAATGAAATTAAAGTCATGATTTGTGCCTATAATTCCCAAGTAGTTTATGGCTGTTTAGTAAGGGAGGGTGAGAAATTCTACACCGTTGTGTATTGAGTAGAAGATTTGCACAGATTATTTTGTCTCTCTTATCCAGTTAAAATACAGACTCTGTCAAACTCTGGCCAAATCATTTATCTTCTCTCTGCTTCACTTCACCATTTACATAAGCGTTGAGATTATGCAGTGATTTACACTACACATAAATGCCTAGGACAGATAGCTAGGGAAGCATGTCATGATCTGCTAGATCATTTCTTGGAGTATCTCAAGATTTCATACCCAGCTTGTCACAAGAGCAGACT